ACCAAAATAATTGTTAAATATAATAATTTTATATCTAAATAACATTTTCCAAGAATTTTAAAAGACTTAATATTTGTTTTATCTAGGGTCGGCCCAATACATATGCCAGATGAACCTTAGCCCAGGGGATTCATGGACTGTTTTCATGTTTACGTTTTGGTAATATTTGCAATGCAAAAATAACACTCTAAATGAGAGATGATAAGGATTAGAGAGATACTTGGACCGAAAATCCCCCCTCCAGAACTTTCTTGCATTTGCAAACTGCAGCTGCTTAACTTTTGAATCATCTGAAATTTGCATTACCTTTCAGTGGTTCTTCTTTTCCGACTCTGTAACCCAAGCTCCAACTGTCAAATGATTGGGCTCGTCCTCAAATTGATTTGTCTGCAGGCCAAGGCTTGCCTTTTTTTTCTCTTTAAACCAAACTCACTTGGACTTCCGGATTTATTTTGGGCTTTGCAGAAGTTATAACCTTTGTTTCCATTTTTTTCGTGCTTTCGGGAGCACTGTGTAGTCATTATTCAGCCATTTCTAATGGATTTTCATGTTTAGGTCACAAAAAACAAGTCTTCTACATAAACATCTATAATTATGTATTATAAACTAATTAAACAATATTGCTTCATTAATGTTCAAAGATTTAATCTTAAGGAGTTTAATTTTTTTTATGAAATGAAATTTATATGATAATACATTTGAAAGTCAATCTTAACATATTTTTATCGATGTGAGATTACTGAAGACTAAATATAATAGTGACACCAATTGATTTGCTAAGCATTATTCAATAAAATAAAATCTACATATAAGACTAAGATATTGACTACAAAGTTATAAAAAATAATTTATTTTAATAAATTTTTAAAGATATTTTCTTAAATTTTTCTATAATTTATGTAAATTTAATATTTTTTTAAATTTATAATTACTTTTTATAAATTTTATAACATGTATTTAATTAAGCATACGACATAAAAAATAAATTAAACCCTTAATATAAAAAATAATCAATTAAGTCATAATGAATACTATGTGTCACAATTACAAAGGTTTTTTTTAATAGAAACTGCTAGTATTATTTAAAAAATAAAAATATCAGAAATTACAATAAGAGTTTACAACTATCATCGTAAACTAAATACATAATTTGGATTTTTCTTATAACATTAAAACTAGTCACTTTAGATCATATAAGAATCATACATGGAAAATGTTAAAAACCCAACCAAGAGACTTTAACAAAAATAGATACGAATAAATATGATTGCATCGGTAAATAAACCACAAAAGAGAATTAAGCTATTGAAAGACCACTGAAAACTGCAGATCAGAGCCGAGCGTCGTGAGAATTGCATCGGCAAACAAACGCAAAATCACACATCCAAATTCAATCTATAGGTCCATAGCAGGGAAGATCAACAGGATTTCATGACTGTCATCAAATCCAACCCTGAGAAAACTATAAGTTTAGTACATAAACTTTCATTTGTTTCAAAATCAAACCTAATGTTTACTTTTTGTTTCGTTTTGATAATTTGTCATTAAAAAATTAACGAAACTGTTACAACATGACACATTTTTATGGGTAAATTATATTATTCATCACTCAACTATTATACGGTACAAATGTAGGGCATAAAATTATTATCTCGCACAGGGCATTAAAACTCATTAGACCGACCCTGGTTTTATCTTACGTACCATAGATAAATTATTAACTTGCCCCATTATAGACATGTTCTTATAATATTTTATAATTTATATTATAATTAATATATTTTTATTAAATAGTGAAAATAATTTCTATCACATATTAATCTAAATATTATTCTAACATATTTTCCTTAATTTTCTTTTCAATAAGAAGACAACAAGTGTTGCTATCGTATTGAGAGAATTAAACTATTATGAAAAATGATTCATGAGGATGCCACTATAATCGGATAGACATGGACCCGGATCCACCGAATTTAGCCTCGACCCTATAGAGTCAAATTTTTGTTCTAAAATTCGGTTTGATCGAGTTTTAAGAAAGGGGGTCATTGAGTTCAAGTCAGATTTGAATTAGACATTAAAATATTCGATCCAATTTGATCTAATATAAATATAAATATAAATATATATATATATATATATATTAGGATTTCTTTTTTTTTTCCTATTTCCATTTCTCTTTGTATTGTTGTCGTTTCTACAATCTTCTCTAATATTTTTTTCTCAATTCTTACTTTCTTTTGTTCTGTGTGCTTCTTCTCCTTTGTTTCATCTTCTATTTTTCATCTTCCTTTATTCTTTTTTTTTTTTTAATTATTTTTTACTAAATTTGAAATTCTAAAACTTAGAAAATAAAGTTTTGAATTCTAAATTTATAGACTGATTCAATAGAAAATGGTAGCTGCAAAATTAAATATGTTTCTTTCGTTGTAAAGTCAACATAAGGTACTTTTTTAAAACCATTTTTTGTTATATTTTCATTTAATATTTTATAAATTTATTTGGAATATAAAATACTTATATTTTAATCAAAATTGATAAATATATAGGAATGAATTTTGAATCCTAAATTTATTTTGACTTGAATCTATTGATTTTTTGGTTTATTCTTATGATTTTGAATGAAACTTTTTTTTTTGGTTTTGCATGATTTAGGGGTGGTTCTTGAATGTCGGATCGAGTCATATTTCTACTTTAAAGAATTGGGTCAGGTTCAGGTAAAACGGAACTTTCTCAAAGCTGGGTTAGGTTTCAGGTGAAGAAGTATAATAATCGTATCAGAGTTAGGGTGGCCAAAAATTTGACTCGACTCATACCTATCCAAGCACATCAATGACTAAAAAGAAAGAAAATTAAAAATTCAATGACCAAAATATAAGTATCTTGAAAGTTTAATGAGCCCCACTTTATTTAAAAATAGTGTATTGAAAGTTTAGGGACTACCAATGTAGTTTACCCAAAAAATAAATATTGAATGGATTAAGGGTTAAAATTGCCCATGTAGTAGACCAAATTTTTTAATTTCGCACCTATCATATTTTTAAATTAATTTTACCCTCAAAGTTGTTTAATTGCATCAATTTATACATTTGAACGTGTTTATAAAACAAAACCGTTAGTTTCTGCTGGTGTGGATGCCAACTGTTTCCACCTCAAATAATTTTGTTGACGTGTCAACCTGATGATGTGGCAATAACAAAAAAATATTATTTTTTAAAGGGTAAATTACACCGTTCTTACTTAACTTTACTCTCTATCATATTTTACTCACTGAACTTTTAATTTTTCTTATTTGCCCACTGAACTTTACACATTAATTGTTTTGATCTCCCATCTGTTTTTCGACTAACTACCTAATGATGTGGCTTATTTTATTAATATATAGTGATGACATTAGAGAAAGGGAAAAGAGTAGGGTTGTAAATGAGATGAGACAGATCGCGAGCTATTCGAGATCGACTCGGTTAAGGCTCGGTAAATACTCGGATTGAATGGACTCGACTCAAACTCGAGCTCAACTCAAATTCTTAACGAGCCGAAACGAGCTACTTGATACTCAACTCGAAAAGCTCGTGATCAGCTCGAAAATATAATATATTAAGATTTTAATTTTTTAAAAAATAAATTATTAATAATATTAACATTTATGTGTTGATTTTTTTTTTAAAAATACAATAAGGCTTTCATGTATTTAAGGTTCGAGTTTGAGTTTGAGGATTCAATCTTATTAAGTTTAAGAATTTTTTTTTCATTTCGAACCTTTTCGAGCTGCTCACGAGCTTCAGTTCAGGATTTCGAGTTCGAGTCGAGCTTAAAAATTTTAAGCTCGCGAGTTTTCGAGTCGAGCTCCATTTCAAAGTTTTCGAGTCGAGTCGAGCTCAACAATACTCGAATTTGACTCGGCTCGTTTACACCCATAAAAAAGAGAGAGAAAGGGAAAGGGAAAAAGAAAGGCTAAAGGAGGGAAATGGGAGCAGAAATAGAAAGAAAGTCTACGGAGAGGAAGAAGCAGGAGTATGACAATGGTGATGATACTAAGAAGGAGAAAAAAAAGAAAAGAAAAAAGAATTTTTTTTATTTATATCAAAATTATGTTGTTTAAATTTAATTTTTATATAAATTTAAAACTATTTTGTTTTAATATTGATTGTCATGATATAACATCTTTAATTATTTAACCATAAAATGACAAAAATAGTAAATTAAAAATTAAAAATTCAATAATAAAATAAGATAAATAATAAAATTTAATTAAGAACGATGTAATTTATACTTTACTAAAATGACACACTCTTGTTGATTGGCTCTGTTAGAGAAAAATCATGTAGTTATTAAATTGACATTATTATTCAATTATTTTTTAATCTAATAAAGTACAAGCATTTGTTAAAAAAGATAAATAAAAGCCACAGTTTGATGCATTCCACCTGGAACGCACTAATCAAAAGTAGACAGAACAATAAAGTCATTTAAAATAAAATCCAAACCAAAGTAAAAAGAAAAAGAAGAGATGTCGGTCTTTCTTGTTCCTCGTGGAAAGATAAAACACTGAAACGCCCAACACAAGAAAGATTCAAAGAAACAAAATAGATCCTAAACTGAACAACGATCTGGAGCCCCGGGGCAGAGGCTACGGTGGATCCAACCATCGTCTATCGTTTGAGGCTCAATAATAAATTGGTAGCCAAACATGATAATTTGATGACAATATCTTATTCCATTTGATGACGTGATGAAAAAAATCCTTTTTTTTAATTGATTTAGAGTAAGTTACAAGATAATTAATTTGGAGAAATTGATTTGAAATAAATTACAAGATAATTAATTTAGAGTAAGTACAATATAATATTTGTTTAAAAATAATTCATAATTATTTGACATTGAACACGTATATCCCTAATATTCCTGATACTCGAACCCATAACCTTAATGAATAACGAAAATCCCTTGCCATGGAGGTCACTCATTTCGAACACAAAATAAAGATGGCATTTCAGTCCCCCAAAAAATAAAGCTCAGAATTACTCATTCCATAAAACGAACACAAGATAGCTAACTACGTGCATTAAAATAAGATCTACAATTTTCAAAGCCTTTTGCTGTCAAATAGAAAATATAATTTCACATCATCCTCAAAAAATTAAACAAAATTACTGCCATAAATAATCCCAAGTCCCAAGATTATTAGTCTTCCGGTCAGGACAAGCTGTAACTGGAAACTGCTCCAAAATTAAATTTTGATATTGAAGTAATCTGGATCAAAATGATGCAATCGTACGTATCCATCCTCACCGCCGCTTGAGAAACTACAAGTTAAAAAACACACAGATGGTTGTATACAGTCACTGATCCGAAAGTTATGTAGGCAATACAAAAAAGAAACTCCCTAAGTAACCATGGTGGCGAAAACGGAGATAGGTACTAAATGATATGGTCAACATTCGAAAACATGGTGAGATAACTTATTAATGATGCAATAGATCTAGTAGGTGATATCATTCATAAAATGAAAATAATATGAACTTATGCATCAGACAATTATATAAGCAAAAGAAGATTTAGAAGTATTATTTGCTTTGTACCTCTTCCCATCAGGATTGAAAGCTAAAGCATTTATAGGCCCAAAATGCCCTTTCACACCTCCAATTTCCTCTTGAAGTATCTACAAGGCAGACAAACATTACGATAAAACGGTAAATTGCAATATAACAACTCTTCACTTTCTGCAAAAACCTTATCTAACAAGTTTACCTTATCATAGAATTTAGCTTCAAACTTCCCGGCACGATGATCTGTAGTCGTGACAGCTGATGCATCCTGGCCACCTCCAAGCACAACCTAGAACACAAGGCAAACAGAAGAAAGGTCAAAATAAGATGTACCCCATAATGGAACAAGAAAGATGACAGCACGTTGAATTCTGTTTATGAAATCAGTTCTCCCACATCTGAGCATTGCCAAATAAAACTAGTATCATGCAAATATATGTACTCATTGATATATAATAACAGATAGCTCAACGTTAGCACCAGACCATCTAAACAGTTAATTTTGCAAGGCTTGAGATGCATTAAAGACTTCTTTAGGCCTTGTCTTATGAGTACTAGGAGTTTGCATAAAATGTTTAAAGATCCTGAAGTTACCAGTTAAATAATAAATAAATTAGAAAAGAGATCATCAGATTTCTACTCACTAACGCAGAAAATTAAGAACAGTGCAAGTAGGGACAATTAAAATTAGAGCGTATGTTAAGCAGCTCTTATTGGATACTTATATGGTCAAGAAGTGGAGACATTGTAACAGCATTGACAGGGCGCTCAGTACCATATGTCTTGATAAGAGTCAATGTTCTTGTGTCCCATAGCTAAACATTCACATAAAAAACATAAGAATGACAAAGAAAGCCAACCAAAAACAACCTGGGGTTCCCAGAAAACAGTCACAAATAGTCACCTTAGCAGATTTATCAAGGGAACCAGTAAGGAAGTGTGAACCGTCTGCAGCTTTTGCAAGTGATGTTATTGTCTTTTTGTGGCCAGATTCCTTGTCAGACTCCCTAAGCAGTTTTCCAGTCTGCAAAATAGATGGGAAAAATCAATCCAAAAGATCGAACTCTTTCCAATGAATCAACAAAACTTACAACGAAGGAAAGAAACATGACTGAGGATAGTTAAGAAGGATAATTCAAATAATAAGAATAGATGTAACTTGAAGTTTATTCAGGAAGAAGCAAAACCAGCTATTACATGAGAACTATTTCAATGTTGAAGCCAAAAAGATAAATGGAGAAAGATTGTAAAGCAGGACCTCTCCAAAAAACGACCCAAACACACACACACACACACACACACATCTTCACATACACAGCAAGTTACCTCAGAATCCCATATACGAATTACAGTATCTTCTCCAGCACTAATGATAGTACTATTGAGAGGTCCCCAAACAGCTCTATTTATTCTTCCTTGAGGGCCCTTGATGACAAGCACAGATTCCTCAGTCTCTGCATGATTATGTGACAATGTAATGAATCAAAGTTTAGACATCAAACAAATCAACAGACTTGAAGCAAATGATTCTGTAAGACAGCAGAATTAAACTACAATGCCAAACAGTTACATATAAATTCTACATCATGGTACTACTTCAACAAAGTAATCTTATTCATTACTGAATATCACTCTAGGGGAGAAATTTAAGCTTACGTTCAGTTGGGTCTTTAGCAATGCGTTTAACATGAATCGCAGAAGTCAGTTCCATGAACGGATCCGTAGTAATGATAGCGAGTTTATCGCCTACAGCAAACTCCACCGACCGCGCGGGTGAACCAAAATTAAACGTATATAATTGAGTTCCCGTCTGAACATTCCACAACTTCACCGTTTGATCAGCACTTCCGGTTAAAAGCCTCATTGAATCCCCTAAAAATTTGAAAGAAAAAAATGAAATCACTATTTTAACTGCAGTTCCAAGAATTTCAATTTCGATAAAAAGAACAAAAAAGAGAATTACTTGAGACATCGCAAGTCCAAACGGCGCCATTATGGCCACGGTAAGTGCCAAGACGCTCGCCGTTGTCGGCGAACCAAACGGTTGGAGTGTGATCCTTGGCACATGAAAACAAAAGATCGCCATCTCTGTTGTACTTGAGAAAGGTCAATGGCCTTTCATGGCCTTTCATCAGAATCGGCCTCATCTTTTTCTCTTCTGCTTCGTTTTCCGGAGTTTCTCTAACTAAAGAATTAGGGTTCCTTGCTTTTGCTGTAGATTTGATATTTGCTTGTGATTTCTTTAGGCGTGGTCTTGGCGGCGTCACATCTTTTAGATAATGAATAGTGGGCCCATTGTTCACTGTTGCTCATTTAACTGTCCACTCCAGATCTTAGCCCAATAGTATTTGCTGCCGGTTCATTTAACTAAATAAAGTTTATTACATTATCTCAAATATTCTAAGAAAATATTAATAATTTTGTTAAAATAATCTGTTTTCAATTAAATTAAATTTATTATATTTAAAAATAAAAATATATTAAAAATATTTAAACATTCTAGATGTGATACTATAATTGTATTTATCTTGTTTTCAATTTTAAATAAAACTCACATCACTCTGTCACTCTGACTTAAAAATTATATTAAAATAAAAAATAAATAATTAGTTTCGATGTGAATGAATATTTTTAGAATTTAATTTTTTAACAAGCTAAAATATGTAAATATTTTATTATATGATATATTTTATAGAGTTTTCTCGATTATGAAAAGTTACAAAATGATTATTTGAAATAAGTGGGCATTTTCCCCTTATAAATGTAAGGATAAAACATGTGACAATAAAAATTTGAATAAACTATAATAATGGTCATTTTTGTTTCAATTTTATTCATTTTTATCACTAATTTATATGGTTTTTTTCACTAGAAGCAAATAACAGACTCACATTGATAACTTTACAGATACGTTAAACCGTAATGATTTTGTCGATATAAGGCCATCGAAAGAGTGGTTCACATGGTTGTATGAGGCTCAAGATGGCACTCACATTGCTGAACGTTTGGCCAGATTTGTCGCCACTAAAAGCTAGTTACGACGTTATCTACAGGTTAGGGTGGTTTCAAAATTTACTGATCGGTAAGACCATTGTTTTCTCTCACTAGATACAAACTGAAACCAACAGAATCATGATTCCTATGCTCTGTGACTCTTTTCAATTCGAAAATAGTTGGGCTTCTGAAAAGGCTTGTATATCTAAGGTACAAGATGCATGGGTGACAACGAATGGTAGTGCTTTGAACAAAATTGATGTTGTAGGTGAGTCTTTACACATGTGGAAATAGGAGCATGCCAAGAACAATAAAGCTCAGATCAAAGCATTGCGGAAACAAGTTAATTCAGGCTTGAATGTGCGGTCAAGTGATCGTCAAATGGTTAAGCTACGTGCTGCAAAGACTTAACTTAAGCATCTATTTGATAAATAGGAGCAATTTTGGGCTCAACGTTCGTGAGTTCAATGGCTTGCCTAATATGAGCTTTTTCCATACGCGTTCTACCCAACGACAGAAAAAGAATCATATCAATGGCCTATTTAATGATACTGGTATATGGATAACTAGAATGCACGATTTGAAGACGATCATTGTTGAGTATTTCCAAAAACTATTCACCCCATCCAATCTTGTATACAATGATCGTATTCTGGATGCAATTGAGGAAATTATAACACCGGACATAAATTCAAGTTTATACAAACAACTTACCCTGGAAGAGGTTATAGCTACGTTTATAACACCCCAATCCAGTCCGACCTGAAGATCCATGGATTATAATGTTACACGGGACTATCGAAATAGTAACCCAAAATTTTTATTTAAAACAAATTTAAAACCACTTTATAAATCCATCCATAATAAGTAAGATAAACCATACTAATAATCTGAGTTACAAAATATGGGGAGCTGCAAAGTATATTCAAAATAATACAATACTGAGTACAAATCAAAAGTTACGACTAAATACACACAAGGGTCCATAAATGATACGTGCCCTCTAAGAATGACTAAAAACATACTCTGAAAGTCTCTGCTGGTATGATCTGCTGCATTGGAATGCCTGGTAACAATAACTCCCCATGAACGACCTCCTAAGAACCTGCGCACGGAAACACATTCCGAAGCTAAGCTTACGAGCTCAATGCCTCACTAATAATTGTACTACACTACATGCATTCACTAAATGAACTGACTAATGGCACAAGTTTGAAACATGATAAATACTGATCTACTGAGATGTGTCTGACATCATGGTGTGGCTGAGGGTTTTGCATTCACTACATGCATTCACTAATAATTATACTACACTACATGCATTCACCATCGATTATACTAGGGTGAGATCCAAAATATGCATCGAAAATGTACACCCGATCAACTTACTCCGTCGAGTCTTGGGGCATCTGTGCCCAGCCGGCTGCTGAAGTGCCTTTGTACTTACTTGGATATCCATTGACTATCGTATTCTTCTAAAGGGAAACTCGGGTGTCCTAATTGTTTCCCAAGTGTCAAAAAAGGCTAGTTTTATGTAAATCTAATTATTATATTTTTATTGTTATGTTATTAATTACTTTTTTCGCTTGAAGTCTTATTTGTTGTTACTCTGATGTATTTGGGTGCCTCAAGTATGATCCTTTAATCCTTGGATTATTTATCCAAAACTGTTCGTAGGTACTGATACTGTACCCTTCAGTATCGATACTAACCCTTTGGTATCGATACCCCTTACCTGATATAGGCTGATTGGGTAAGGTAGTATTGATAGTTTATAAAGAGTATCGATACTCTGGTGCTAGGGTATCGATACTTGCTTGAGTATCGATAACAAAATTAGGTTTGATGTTTTGAAAAATTTCCTAGTATCCATACCCCTACTAGGAGTATCGATACCCCTACCTTGGTATTGATACTCTATATGAGTACTGATACCAAAATTATATTATGGATTATTGATCTCGATACCAACCCGGTCGGTATCGAAACTGGGGCCCTAGTATCGAAACTCCTTAGATGAGTATCAATACATCCCTTTAAAAATTGCCTTATTTTTAGATGATTGAAGAACAATATCGATATTGTTCCTACAATATTGATACCCCTTTAGAAACTGTTGAAAACACTTTGATATTTTGATATACCAAAAATTGTTAAATTGTTTTTACAAATTTTAAGATTATATTTGATCCAATCATTCAAATATATAAATTATTCTTTAAAATTAAAAGGTTAATTTTACTCACTCTATTGAAAAATTGAGTCCTATACTGGAAATATTTTTTTCTATGGGTTTCGAACTTTAATCGAGTCAAAAATGATTTTTAAGCATAGTAGTATCGATACTACTAGAACAATACCGATACTCTTCAAGAAGTATCGAAACATATATCGATGTTGAAGCCCAAAATGATGAAGTACTATCAAAACATAATACTAAAATGGTACCGATACTATATACATTATCGATACTACTTACTATATTAGTGCTGATACCCTTATTGGTGGTACCGATACTATCTTTTTGGTTTTGAATTTGTCCAAATTCCAGTATACTAAAATGGTACCGATACTATATAAAGTATCGATACTATAGAATATGTAGTACCGATACCCTTGTGACAGTATCGATATTATAGTTTTCTAACGGTCAAATTTTTATATTTAATGCAGGGAGTATCGATACTGAAAGACGAGTACTGATACGACAAGCTTCTGGACAACATTTAATGCGGAAAATTACCCCCAACGACTCTATTCACTCCCCCAACGACTCTATTCACTCCCAAAACAACTCAAACGGTTGGAATTGATTCAGAGAGTATTAAAGGAAGATCCCAAGTCATTTGTGAAGACAAGAGACAAAAGAGAAAGCCATAAACAACAAATTTGAGCCAAATCAAGTCAACATTTTTCAATATTCTTTTTAATTTCAAAGAACACTTCTTATACTCATTTGTATTCATTTCTCAAGTGTTCTTATTTGTTATTGAATTGTGCAAAAATATTCCTAATGAGGATTTTATAAGTTTGCAATTTGTAATTTTCTCGTTGAGAACGTTTCTTAAGAATTTGGGGTATAATTCTTGAGGGAGTTGTAAGGTTACACCTTATCCTCAAAGGTAGATACAAATTAGTGAATTTGTAGTGTAGATAACTAAGGTAGTGGATGTAGACTTTGGTTGATAAAGTCAAACCACTTTAAATTATGTGTTCATTTGTTTACTTTTTCTCTCAAGCTTCTGCCAAATTTTTTAATTGCCAATTCACCCCCTCTTGGCTATGTCATCCTTTTGATTGACTCAACACAAACTACTAACCTGGGTTTTGGGGTGTTACAACTCTCTCTTCCTAATTATAAATTACATCCTCAAAATTTTCCTAGATAGAAGAGGTGATGATACTGAAGTTGCATGTCATCATCGATTTTCCAAGTCGTTTCCTTAACACTATGGTTCCTCCATAGCACCTTCACTAAAGGGATCTTCTTGTTCCTTAATTCTCTCTTATCCCTTGCTAGGATTATGACTGGTTCTTCTATAAAGGTTATGTCTGGCTGACCTCAATCTGCTCTAAGGGTATGAAATGAGAAGGATCAAAATGATATCTCTTGAGCATAGATACATGGAATACATTGATTATACGCTCCAAATTTGGTGGTAAGGCTTACCTGTAAGTCACTGGTCTGACTTTTTCGAGTACCTCATAAGGTCTTATAAAGCAAGGAGTCAACTTTCCCTTGTGCCCGAAGCGAAGTACTTTGTTCAAAGGAAAAATTTTGAGGAACATTTTGTCCTTTACTACGAACTCAATGTATTTACGCTTCAAGTGTATGTAAGACCTCTGCCTATCTAAAGCTTCCCTTAATCGGTTATGGATTAATCAAACTTTCTCCTATGTCTCTCTGATCAAGTCTAGACCTACTATCTTACCCTCTCTGAGCTTTGTCCAACATAGCGGGGTCATGCACTTGCGCCTATACAAGGCCTCATACGGAGGCCATCTGAATCCTTGACTGAAAACTATTGTTGTAGGTGAACTCCACTATAGGAAAGTGGTCATCCCAACTGCCCTCTAGATTGATAATAGTACACCTGAGCATGTCCTCTAGAATCTGGATAACTCGCTTTGACTGACCATCTGTATGAGGATGGAATGTTGTGATGAAGTATAGTTTGGTGCCTAGGGACTCATGAATATCTTTCCAAAAGTGGGAAGTGAACT